GTTTGAAATACATGATTCATATTGCGGAGGCTGAGATTGGTGTTCTGGAATCAACAGGCAGGGCTAGGCAGGAGGAAAGACAGATAAGGACTTTAGACCGCTCGTACGGGTTGATGTGTCACTGGTCCGGTCAATAAATTACTGTCCTCTAATTGGCGGCATCATTACGGCATATATTATTAGGGCAAAAGACTACATTTTATAACACATACCACAAAGGTCGTTTCATTCAAGCATCAGATGCTTTAACGTCATCCGTCGGCAACCAAATACGATTGAATTCAGATATTTTAGGTGACAGTTTAAGGCTCATTTTAATTCGGTATATCCTTCAAAAAACTATTCATAGGTAATTAGTTCATAGACATATATCTTTACTTCAGAATTCAGATTAGTAATTAATCTATTCCAGTCACACTACTGATATTTGATAGTTTTGTTATAGAGAAGTTCTGGATATCTATATATCACATTTTTGTAGTATCCAAGTTTTTCGTTCCGCTTTGGTTATTATTATGTTCTTCTTAAAACTTGGACAATCAACTATGAATTGGATGAAGACTAAGGCTACATAATAAGATTTATTGACAAAAAATGAAACAACTATACTTACAACGAATGCATTGTATGATTGATCCAGGAAGAGATATGTGAGCGATGATATTAATTAGGTCAGTAGTTCATTTGCTCATAATAACCAGCCTACACTTGTTTCTCAATTATCGTAAGATAGTAAGATAGAATTTTGCCAAAAATATCATCTCTCTCATTGTAAGTAAATCTTCTACTTTGGATTCATCGATGTTTATTAAGATGACGGTATGCCAACGATGATGACTTCAAACGAATGTTATCTAAGCCTTTAGAAATCTTACTTTATCAACTTAAAATCTAAATGATCTAATTATCTTCATTTCATTCTTGTCCCGAATTTTATTGCGTTCCTATCATCATCAATTTTAAATTAGTCTTATGTACTTACTGAATCATTGGCTCACTTTTTCTCTTTTTCCTCTATTAATCATATCTCACATACACTGTTCTGCTCACTCCTCAGTATACAATATTACCTTCAGGCTATACACAAATGTACTAAAAGCTAAATACTACAACTGAATGTCCTCTAATCTTTTTCAATTATTACAATTTCTCATATTACGATTACTTTCATCGATTTTTTTTTTCACTTTTTATTCACTGGAATTGACTAGCCACTACGTTATGTATTTTAAAGTGCCTAGTTCATATATCAGATATTCAACTTTTATTCCCCTTTTTTGATGGAGTTTTGTTCTCTGAACTGGAGCTCCACGACCAAACCATCAAGTTCAGAGAACAAAACTCCATCAAAATCATTCATTTGAGTTATAAATTTTCTCCACCATTCCCCTTTTTTTCTATAAATAAGTTTAGAGACGAGTTTATATTATTTCATTTACTAATCGGATGATATTTTACGTGTTATACAAATTTAGTGATGTTACTAATCAAATGAGAAAGTTTTCAATATTTAAAAAAATTCCATTCTGTTTGTTAAAGATGATAGAATCAAGTCAATATGGTTGTTTATGTGTGTGTGTGTGTTTCTTTATCAAAGTCGTGAATGATGTTGCTATGATGAGGTTACCAACAGAAATATATAGAAACAAGACTAGTGAGATGATCATGATATGATACGATTTTTTCTCGAGTAAAATTATAAAAAAAAACATGAAATTCTTAGACAATTCAATAAAGACAATAACCAAATCAAAATATATTACGATTGAACATAATTCAAAGAGTTTATGAAAATTGCTGAATTGAGTAGATTATATCATGAAATGGATCTTAGATAAATAACCAGTGAAAATCAGGAACAATTGAATAGGTAATTTGATTCAATAAGCCGTCGCGGCCCGAATAGCTTAGTGGTAACGTCTCTGATTGTGAAGCTGAGTGAAACGAGATCGAATCCGTCAGGGAGCACCAGTTCCCTCAAAATTACAGGTGTACCTTGCTGACGAGTGTCAAGTAGCACGAAACCCGGGTCTAGGGTTTCCTGTTGACCACCTCCAACCACCATCTTACCTCAATATATATAGTGCACGCAGTGTCGAGCCACCTAGACTAGTGGCCACATTTCAATTTGATCGATAGCATTCGATCAGCACTAAGAAGGACTTGATACGCATGACATTGATCACCACCCAGTGATCAATCAATTGTCAATAAGCTGTTCTTTAGCAGTGCCTATCCACTATTCCATAAAGATATTCAAATGTGATTTATCTTTGAAGAAAACATGAAAATTTTAAGCAGTTCTAAGGAGTGGGGGTTAATAAATCAATTATAAATTTTTGATGGAACAACAGTTGACGATCTTGAAAAGGATGGAAAACGCGCAATGATAATGATGAATATCTAAAATTGTCTTGATTTGCAATCCCATGTTATTATAGCATCCCAAAAATATATAAAATAGCTATTTCTCTTCATCATACTATAATAATCCCAGACATTTGCAGAAAATCCTACAATCAAAGTCAAATAAAAAAAACACAAAACGTTTTATTCATTCGATTGAATGGATTAATTATCTGACATAAATGTATATAGAAACATAATGATGTCATTGAATATCACTTCACATTTCATGGATATTTCTTTCATAAACACAATTTGCATCTTATGAGATTAAATTGACACTGATACCTCGAAGCATATTTCAGAGAAACTTAACCCACCTCTCTCTCTATCTCTCAACGTACACTTCATATCCAGTGACAAGTTCTGTAGATAAACTATTAATATTCAAATTGGGTTAGCACAGGAACACTGTATATCCACTGCTAGCCACTATCCATCTTCGCTTATAATGCTTGTCATCTAGGGCAATATCGAGGCAATACGCACAGTATGCACATATGCCAATAAGAGACTGACCAGTTGCAGTCCTAAACATCAATGGAAAGATTCAAACAAACAATACTAATTGAATTTATATATCAAAATGTTTCGCGGCCATTCTAGAGAATACAAAACTGCGGTTAAAGTAAATGCATAGAACTCATTTATACAAAAAAATGTATTGATGACAACTTTCATCCTCCTTGAAGATAACATAAAAAGTCTTGATAAACTACAGAACTTTAATAATCAAGATCATTCTAATATATTCACAATAGAACCAAAGATTAACTTGGAAATTCACTTTATTATTTACTGAGAGGAAAATCAAACAGTACTCCACAAAGATTGATGAAAGAAGATCAACCTGAAAAGTGCAGTGATGCGAATTTCCAAAATTTCAAACCACTGAGAAAGAAGTAAAACCTAAATCATTTTCTATCCTCAAAAACTAGACGAATTCGCACCGAAGAAACAATCAACAGTGAATTGTGTAACGTACTTTTTCACCCATATTTATCGAGTGAAATCTAAAACCAAAACGGTAAGCTGACAAAATTCAAGGACGATCTTCGATCAGCGACAGTAAAACTCGATCCCTATGATCTCTGAGAAAGATCTACTAGGTTGATTTTTTCTACCGACATCAAAGTTAAGAGGGATAGAAGACAGACCTTTGCTTTCGGCCGCTTCACCATGTATCTATAATTGTATTTGCTCTTGTGAAATAGGCTATGTTGGTCACACAAAGTGTGTTCTTTTTCAATGTGTTTTTAAGCATTACTCTGCACGGTTATCTAAAGGCGAATTTAAAATGATCAACAGTTTTATCAGCTATGGCTACGTTATCCTACCATAATTAACGTTCTAAATCATCTGTGAAGGCCTAAAGGTAGTACCGAATAGATACTTGTGCATAATAAAGATTCTAGCACTTCCTCACTTCAAGCATGTTCTCTGCTTCTACAGGTACTATATTCAATCTCTCACCTTACCATGACGCTAATTTCCTCTATAATTTTTTTCATAACGAATGCCAATTATTGATAACTGTTAGCAGATTCATAACTTTAGTAAGTGATATGGTCAAACAAAAACTTTTTCCACTAAACTGTTTACATAGCCTTAATGACCCAATAGGCTTCTTTCTTAGTTAACTAAGAATTTAGTATTTTCACAGTTAAAATCATGAGTCAATTGAAGCTAGACCACCATCGAAAACCTGGAAGCACTGGACGGCCGTTTCGTCCTATTATGGGACTCCTCAGCAGTGCGCATCCACGAACCCGCTCTCGCGAGCGAGATTCGAACCCAGGACCTACCAGTCTCGAGCCGAAGCCCTTAACCGATAGACCACTGAGCTGGCATCCAACGGTGTTAATGTCTAACTTCAACCAATCCACGATATTGAGCGACCGTTCACCAATTGTCTTCAGTGAGATGATATCTCTACAACAGACCTGGTAGAACTCCACTGCTTCCCACTAGAACTCAAGGAAATATCTCTTGAAGTCAGTCGGGTTCGTGGATGCGCACTGCTGAGGAGTCCCATAATAGGACGAAACGGCCGTCCAGTGCTTCCAGGTTTTCGATGGTGATCTAGCTTCAATTGACTCATGATTTCAACTGTGAAAATACTAAATTCTCCACAAAACCCCCTCTGAACTAAGAATTTGCCAAATGTATTTCATTGGTACCCAAAGTGATAAAAATGTTATTGTCAATGTCAAGAGATTCACCTTTGTAATATGATATTTCAGTTAGCTTTTCTTATCATAAACTATTCCTTTTGACATTATTCTGTGTCAGCTGTCGTTCTCACTTCATTCAAACAACGAAACAGGAAACAATCTGTTTGAAATAGTGCCTATACTTGATTAAAAATAGTAACATAAGTACAACAATACTTTTATTTCAATTTTTCACTTAATCATTTTGTAACGGTAACCAATAAGAAATTAGAATAATTCTACATTGGCCAACAATGAGCACTTTTCGATGACCAATCATTTTAAAAGATTGTGTCATTTTGAAATTAAAAAAAAACCATATATAGATAGATAGATAGATATCTGTGATAAACATTTCCTTATCTAATTACTTTGTAAACTATGGCTGTCAAAGTCAGCAGCAATCTATCACCATTTTATGTAGAATTAGCTAAAAAGAATCTGTCGGAAAATCCAGCACATATTCAAGCACATTTGACTGCTTTTAAACGATGGTTAAGCTCATGTCCACACTTAACAATACCTCAGGGTAAGACTATAATTAAAATTTCAATTAGAAATAATGATAATTTATTACCAATCTTATAAATATTATTTATTGTTATATATACATATAGAGGGTTGTGGAGATTGTTAAATTTAGATTGATATCATGAATCGATCAGTGTTAAAGCATCATTAAAAACCTAAAAGCACTAGACGGCCGTTTTGTCCTAGTCACTAGTGACAGGCTGTAAGATGGATTTCTAGCAAAATGCCATGACCAGTGGAGTCTAACTGTGTCTGTTATGGGGCGGTTATTCACTGAAAACATTGGTGGAAGGTCGCGCATTATCGTGAATTTGTCGAAGTTAGACGTTAACACAGTTGGATACCGGCTCAGTGGTCTAGAGGTTAAGTGTTCGCGCGCGGGATCGAGGGTCCTTGATTTGAGTCCCTCGTGAGGGATCGTGGATGCGCACTGTTGAGAAGTCGTATACTAGGACGAAACGGCCATCCAGGGCTTCCAGATTTTCAATGGTGGTATAACATCGATCCATTCATGATATAAATATATACATGTATCTACCCATAGTAAACTTCAGTTATAACATCTGATACTGAATTTATTAATAAACGAATATAATTGTCAAATCATATTCTTTGAATTAGAGATTCATCAATATACATTCTCATACTTTTCATTATCGAGACTAAAGCATTCAAATTTAATTGGTAGGAAAAATTTATTTAACAAACTAATTGAATGTTTCTAGTCGAAGTTTTCAAACATTTTTAAGAAACATTATTATCAGTGACGTGGGATTACCTGATTTGCAAAAGGTTTGTCTCAGTAACATTAATAATTGTTGTGCAACGGTTCGTTTTTAAAGTTGATAACATTGATGACTTGATAAATTCAGAGGGTTTGTTTGATCATGAACTGAATTTGAGTAGAGATTGCCGAATTAATATTACAGTGTTAAACATCAATTTGACTTCCATTTAGGACTGACTGCAAGGTTAATTTATTGGTTACAGGCAAAAATTAGATCTATTCATCTTTTTAAAACTGTATTATGACTGATATGTTTTTCGACTTTATATTATCACTGTTTTTCTTCTATCCTGCTTCACTCATGGGAATCTTTTTTCAGTACAGATAATTATAATCAGTTAGTTCAATAGTTCCTAAACTTATCGAACATATATTTCCATACAAAAATCTATTGATTTCGTCTTATCTACGAAACAACACTTATTTCATGCATATATACACTACTCTATATATGCGAACTGTGTAAATTGCTGTACATGACAAGTTTTTGCAAGGACCGAATTGACGTATATTTACAGGCTATTCTGATTAATATAAATGGGTCGTGGCAAGTTCAAACATGTTTTAATTAAACAATTTCGAAGGACTATTTAGTTTTTTAGTAATCATGATCACAATTTATATGACGAAATATTAAACACCAGAACCAATTATCTACTTCAGTGTTGGCTAAAACATCTCATTATAATACATATTTGATCACTTAGTACTGCTAGCCACTATCCATTGTCGCTTAGATATTTGATCAATTACAAGACCAGGCATATGAGCTTTAAGTCTTGTCAGAGTATAATAATAAACTGAATAATTAGAAAACAAATCGAAGTAATATTGAAATTGTGAAATCAATATCAATCTTATTGAAGGTAGGAATATAACGCTTAAATCAATGTGCCAAAATAGTCTACCAGGTATTTCTAAAGCGATTCCAATCGAGAGAAAACACAAAACTAATTGGCATACAAAAAAAAACCGAATTTTATAACATTGTAGAAGCTGATTAGTATGAACTGATTACACCAACAAGTAAAAAACCTTTATGACTACGACATCATAAAATGACTCAGTTTTAAGTCAAACGACTATCTAACTGCATACTTCCATTTATTTCAATTCCCCAAAACAAAAGAGACGAAGACCAACTGTTCACTATTTATTGGACTAATTACTAATAATTTCCAATGTTATCCACCTTTATAGACTACTATTACTCGATTTGATATTGACATTTCATTCTACATATATGGAGTATATCATTCTAAATACAAACTCAGAATTGTAGACTTGTAGACTTTACAAACTAATGTTTTATTTAAAATAAGCTGAATTCAGGAGTAATTCACATATCGATATCACTTAAATATAATTGTGAATGCTGTACATGTTTTCATAGACCTGTCGTGATATTTCAGAATGTCCACTTAACCAGTAAAAAGAGGCTGATATAAGGACTTAAGAACATAATATGCTACTATTCGAATCATTGGAATATTGTAGCCAGCTGATTCCATTTACAAGTTTTAAACAAAGTAAGAATGACAATATTTGCAGAATATGGCAAATTCATTGTTTTTTGTTGCTTTCTCTTCAACTACACATACAAGCTAATATGCTTAATTATTTCCTGTTATTAACATAACATGAAAAAATGAATTATCATTCAATAACAAATAAGTTGCTTGTCACCTGGAAGTGATATGCTTGATGTCATTACGAATTCACCTCATTCGGTAAACGGAACGAAGGTCAAAAACACAGTGACACGGTGATTAAAACACCATAGGTTATTCTAATCCGTTGTCCCCGGCCCTGCTAGCTAGACCAAGAAGACTTGATGAGGCGTAGAGAATGTATTCTACAAGCACCCAGAAAATACGAGGTCAATAAGCACACAAATCAAGCTTATTTATGCAATGGTAGAAACACCCTTGGGAGAGCCACAAAATAGCGTACTAAAACAAACCTTCAACCAATGACGGTCAAAAATTCCCGAGTGAGAAATGTAAGCTGTAGGTCAACTAAGCATCTCTTGACTCGAAAACATAAAATTCAAATCTTCAGAATAAAATTACAAAATCAGGACCTTTTTCAAGTGAGTTCTGGTGATCTAACGTCCCCAACAGAAAGGAGTTAAGAATGACAGTTTTAAAAGAGGTTCTTTTTATGGTTGTTTAAGGTAATAGTTCTGAAATATGAAAATAATTTCATTATGTAATACAACAAACGAAAAGAGGACGTATGAGCTCAATCCACCGGATTGTGATTGTAACTAATCTCAACGAATAAATTTTAAAATGTTACAGTGGTCGTTGAAGATTTACTAATGAGTCTTTTTGTATACAAAGGTTTAGTTTTAGTATCATGGAAGGTATGGTTTCTGTAAATTCTAATGGCGAGGAATTGGACTGTTTATTGATAAATATGAATGAATTTAATGCATCCATATAGTGCCTTATGTCTAACAGGTAGCCCATTCTGTTGGACTTCCTAGACAGTTTTCTTCTTTTAAGACATAGGTGTTTTGGAGTATGCTCATTAAAACGAATTGAAGTCAATGTACATGTCTTTTTATGTACATGTAAATTGGCATTTCCTATCGGAGGTGATATCTAATAAATACTTATCCACTATGTATTTTGTATACAGGACTCAACGTCACAGAAGAAATGTAATTTTTAAAGTTACATTTAGTCTTCAACTAATTTTATTCATTAATTGATCGTATTTGAATGACAACTGAAAAAAAACATGCTTCTTTTTGAATTTGTATTCTTCCATCTTACTTCGATAGTCAGTACTATATCTATTTTAAATTGATTGAGGTTACCTATTGTTTCGCAGACAATTATTTTCTACTACAATATACTCTTACTCGAGCTTATAGGGGAATAGCTGCGCAAGTATATGTTTTATTTACCCCAGGTTTCTTTTTAAGGTATATACCATTGATAGATCTCATCATTTTTTCTAAAAGTACATTACACACAATTTTTTGCTGGGTTCGAATCTAGCGAGTGCGGGATCGTGGATGCGCACTGCTGAGGAGTCCCACAATGGGACGAAACGACCGTCCAGTGCTTCCAAGTTTTCGATGGTGGTCTAGCTACAATTGACTCATGATTTCAACTTTGAAAAACACAATTTATTCGTTATTGATCGATAATTCATTTTTCCATATTATGTTTATTCTCTAAAGAAGTGGCTTACAATGAGTCACGAAATGTCAGAAAATCTAATTTTTCTACTCATTGGAATATTACAAATATATTAATTTATTATGTTAATAATTGGAAATAATTAAACATATTAACTTATATATGTAGAGGAAGAGAAAGAAACGAAATATAATGAACTTATTCTGCAAATACTATCATTAAATGACTACTCATAGTAAGATTATAATTCATGGATGGCCTTCGAGAGAGGCTAAAGTGACCTTGAGAATGTTCACCAACTTACTAAAGCTAAATTAAGGTTATAAACATGTATGATGAATAACAAATATGATTTACAGATGATGGTTAGGGTTAAGAATGAGATATATAGTTTTCATCACGAAATAGCATCAGCTAAAATGTTAAAATACTATTTAACCAAATGGATGAATAAATTTTTAGCCAAAATCCAAGACTTATTATCCTAAATATGATTGATTCGTCCCTAAGTTATAGTCTTGCCAAAAATGATTTGTAAAGTATTAAGCTGTATATTGTTGTGAAAATTGTTTACATTTGACGTCCAGATGTTGATAATGAAAGTTATATGGAATTCCAATGCTAGAATTAGTAGACAATAGCTCAAAAAAATGAACATTTACATTTTAATATATAAGAACTCTCGTCTAAATCAGAGCGAATAGTTTCACAGTATTTGAGCACCGAGTTGATGTAAGACATTAAATAGAAATAATATATTTGTAAAATCTCAATGAATGAATTTGTAGTAATTTGTAGGAATAATTCCTTGAAAAAGCTTGGACCAGATTGCCAGGCGAAACGTTGGATTTACTACAAATTCATTCGCTGAGATTTTACAAATATATTATTCCTATTTACATTTTAATTAATTTTTCTTGGTTGTTAACATGACATTTGATAACAATGACCTTGAACAATATAATGTTTGTTCCGTTGATGAACACTTCGATTTCATCTCGAAAATAGTGGTGAATTCTGAGATTAACGCTCTATTAACCAAGTGCTAAACGTTTA